AGGTTGTTGGAGTGCAGTTCTGCAAGCTACTTCTGCTGACTGCCAGCTGACTGCAATTTGGCAGTTCAAATCTCACCAGGCTCAAGGTTGATTCAACCTTCCATCCTTCTGAGATTCCAATTGTTGGGGGCAATACGCTCACTCTGTAAAAACTGCTTAGTAAAGGCACTGTGAAGCGGTATATAAAGTGCTATTGTTATACCCCCAAATTTTTATTTGGCAAAAACTGTCTCGTTTGTTCTATTTATGTTTTTATTCTTCAAGAAATTTTGATGTAAAACTGGATTATTGTTTTTTTTTTATTATTAAAATAAGGTTCAAGTGTTTCTTTAAAAAAAAAAGATCCTCAACCATTATTGTTTTTCTCATTCCAGAAATCTAGGACAACTCTAATTACTAGAAACTGTTAACACACCTGATAAAACATGATAGGATGTTGGCTACTTAAAATTTTTCTTCTTGAGATTCTTAATATCTTTTTTACTTTTCCATTTTTCTTATCACCTAGTCTGAGGAAGATTCAGGAGAACAATTTCCAAACTAATTTAGGTAAACTTTATTAAAGTACTTGTCCTATTTTTTATATGACCAACAAAGTAACTTTCCTTATTTGGGAGTAGAAAATGATGCAATTCAGAATTGAGATACGAGCAATTAACTTTCCCGTTCAGGTTTATTTTTAGTCAAAAAAATAAACAAACAAACTTAGGTCTTAGACAAAGATATATTTGATTTATCTTAGATTCCAACTCCAACCTGGCAATCCAAGTTTTAACCTATCACGCTGAGTGCAGCAACAATTATAACAGTTATATAGCATATAGTTAATTTATTGATTCACATATGGAATAATTCTAAATAATTGAAAATTTTTACATTTGGTAAAACGGCGCTGTATAGATGGTGCTATATAGAAAATTCTCCAATTGTTTATTAAAGCCATTTCAAAACTGTGGTGATAGTGGTGATAATGGAGGAGGAGGAAGAGATTCAAAATAGTTCGCCTCGTACAGATGTCAGCAACCCATGGCTCCGAAGCCACATGCGGCTCTTTGGACCCTCTGCTGTGGCGCCCTGTCCCATCACTGGCTAGCCCCGCTCCTTGCACTCCCTTGCCTGGCCTTAGAAGATAATAGCAACAGCAGGGGATGGAGAAGCGGCCGGGGCTGATTCTCCAGCACCTTACTCTTGCTGCTTGTTGGTGCTAGGTGGTAAGTACCTTCAGGCCCTTGTTGGTGCTGGGTATGCCTCGCAACCAACGCTGGCCTCACTAATACGAGGACTGGAGTGTGTGTGTGTGTGAGCAAGCTCTCTTTGGGGCTCTTGGCTATTTCTTTTATTTTTTCTTTCTGGAAATCTGAGCTGACTGAAGAACTATCACAAATCTGGGCAGGCAACCCTCCTCCTCCCCCTCCTCCTCTCACAACCCCCTGGTTGGCTGTGGCATGGCTGGGAGGGTGCGCACGCTTGGGGAGACCTCTCTTAAATGAGAAGTCGCCCACCACCCACCCCGCCCACCCCTTGGCCAAGCCAAAGAGGGAAGCCCCTGCTGCAGCTGGCAATTGTTCCTCAGCCAGCCTGGATTTCAAAAAAGAAGAAATAAAATGAATAGCCAAGAGAAGGGTCGCTGGAGCCTTAGTGCAGAAGAGAAGTTGCATCCTGTTAAGACCCTCAAGCAAGCAGCCGGCTGCCCCATGTGTGCCTTTGCTGCACTTTGGTGCTCGCTTGAGTAAGGTCTTCCTGCATGTGCACACCCTCCCTGCCTTGCCACAGCAAGAGGAGAAGGTGGGGGGGCTTACCCAAAGGGAAGCCTCTGCTGTGGCTGGTGATTGGATTTCCAGAAAGAAGAAATAAAAGGAGGAGGGAGGGAGGGAGGGAGAGAGACAGACAGACAGACAAACAGACACACACACACAGAGAATGATACACACATACACAGAGGGCAAGTTAGAAAGAGAAACAGAGAGACACAGAGATAGAGAGGGGGGAGAGAGATAGAGGGGGGAGAGGGGAAGATAGGGAGATGGGGAGAAAGAAGGGGAGAGAGAGGGAGACAGAAACAGAGAGAGGGGGAGAGAGATACAGAGAGGGGGGAGAGATACAGAGTGGGGGGGAGAGATACAGAGGGGAGGAGAGATACAGAATTTCATGCCCCTGTCAGAATCTGATTCAGAGAGGGAAGCTAAGCAGCTGACAGGGAGTGGAAGTTTGGATCTGTTGGCTGGGGAAGGGCAAAGGCCAGCTGGGTAGAGCAGGGGAGAGGTAGAGCAAAGCAGAGGGGATTCAGAGGAAGACCCAGGCCCATCCCCTCTTCATCCTAGGGCACGCAGGGAGGAACAGAGAAGAGAGCAACATGAGTTGTGTGGCTTATGGGGGAGGAAAGGGCCCTGATTCCCTTCATTAGCTGTAGCTGGAACACAGTATTTAAAAAGGAAAGCTGCATACAGCAAAGTTGTTGGGAGCAAATCGTGAATTATCTGGTATCATCAAGGCTTATCTGGGTTCCTGGCATCTTCTCAACTGTGTGTGTTTTGCTGGGCTTTCAAGTCTGCAATTCCTTCTCCTGCCTTGTTAAGTTAATTACTGCAGCATGGTTTGTGGGGATCTTTATTTACAGTTTGTATGTACTTTGTTTTCGGACTGAATTTCCTCCACTTAAAGACTGTTCTTGGGAGAGTTTTTTCTTCAGCTGAAGGTAATCTGAACATTGGGGGCAAAGTTGGAGGTATTAAAGGGACATTTCTTGCTTATTTGACTGTGTTGCTTTTGTGACACATCCTGGGTCATCACACAGAGAGGGGGAGAGAGAGATATAGAGAGAGGGGAAGAGAGAGGGGGAAAGAGATACAGAGAGGAGGAGAGATGGATGCAGAGAGAAGAGAGAGAGAAGGAAGATCGGGAGAGGGGGAGAGAGAGAAAGAAGGTGAGAGAGGGAGAGAGAGATACAGAGAGGGGGAAGAGAGATACAGAGAGGGGGAGAGAGATACAGAGAGGAGAAGAGACAGATGGGGGGGGAGAAAGAAGGGGGAGAGAGGGAAAGAGATACAGAGAGAGTGGGGAAGAGAGAGGAGAAGATACAAAGAGAGTGGAAGGGAGGGGCAGAAAGGTAGAAATACAGAGGGCGAGAGAGAGACATAGAGCGAGAAAGGTTCTGTGGCTGGGTAGGCATGCCAGATCATGTGAGTGGGTGGGAGTGACATGAAGTAGGCCATGCCCACCCAGTGGGTTTTTTTCCTGTGGGAAATGGGCCCAAGTGGTTCTTTGAGTGTTTAAGGTTGCAGACCCCTGACCTAGTACAATGCCTAAATAGCTTCAAAATGTATCTGGGGACTACAAAAAGCCATCTAAGTAGCTTCTTGATCATTCCCACCATATATTTAAAGAGACATCACTACTCTGCACTCATTTGGTACACAGATCCTCAACTTAATAAATGTGGTGAGTTAAAAATTACATAAAAATGTATGTGTCAATATGTCAATGTCATGTTCCTATTTAAGTATTTGCTTTCTCACTCTTCCTTAAACGGAAAAACACATAGGGACGCTAGAATAGTAACAAAAAGTGGTCAAGAAAAACTAGATGAACCTTCTTCCTTTAATTTCTGGAAAGAACAATTTCACAACAGTCTCTAAGTTCAAATCATGCATTTAATTTGCCCCCAAAGTACTATGTACTATGACCTGACCTATGAATAGTCCTGGTTGCTCAGTTCCATCCAGCCTAAGGGCATGTCAAGTTAAATCAGAATTTAGCCTTTTGTCTTGGCTTCCTGAAATCTAAATATGGCCCTGAGCATAAGCTTTTTTGCATAATTATCTTATGCAAAGATTACTTATCCTTATTTTTCTGAAATTGCAAATAGAGCTTTTCAGCACATCTCCAAAATCTTTCTAATGATAGATAACCTGCTGAATTTAACTTATATAATTCAGCTTTTGAGAGAAATGTATAAGAATAGAATTAAAAAAGTAACCAAAACAAGTACAGCAAACGTGAGCATATGTTGCAACTCACAGAAGCACAAGTCATGAGAACAGATGAGTTAACCTCACCTTTAATAGGCATAATGGCCACACCCTCACAGCTATTCCTATGGGGGAAAGACACTTCCATGCCAAATGTGCACTTCTAGCAGCAGGCTCTTCAGATATATGGATTATATACACACAGCTTTTAATATAAAGAGGCCTTTGGCCCGTTTAGGACCCAGCCTCTTTAGGAAGTTTAAAACATACCATGTAATTGTGATCTTCCCCATAAAAAGTACTTTAAATAGAGATTCTTTCATAACTAGCACAGCTATTAGACTCAAAAAGCTTATGTGATACACCTCTTCAACACTTAGTTACCCTTGTGCTCTTTATAAACCAAAGTGTATAATAAGAAAAAGAAAAATAATTGGGGAGAAGAGGGGAGGGGATAATTTCATATTGAAATTTAATTTAGTTATAGACAGGCCGCATAGTTAAAACTCATTGTTTAAGACCAAGATGTGCATTGCAGGAAACTTGGAAAAAAACAGCAAATCAATCATGCAAAGGAAACTGGAATCTTAACCAAAGTCTTACTTTTTCTTGTATGGGAATTTAGTGGAGAAAAAATTGCCTCAAAACATTAAGTAGCCCTTTCTATGCTTCATTACATTTCCCAGAGCTACTTTTCAGGGAGAAAAAAGTATTCCTTGGAAAATAACATACATATAAAATCTGGTCTGAGATAACAAACCATATGTGAGCTGAGTAACTTCAGACTTTACCAAGCACTCCCTCATACAAAGGAGAAAGCATTGTTGGCACAAAGAATCCTTTTCTTTCAAATCCTGGGTACAGGTTTAAGAAATATTTTGGTGTCTCCCTCAACTTGGCTGTCTATCTTGATTCCAATTTCTGCAAACCTCAGAAGCCACTCCCGCCATAAGGCTGTTGTGTAGAACATTTCAAATGATGAAAAGAGGTCATTTGCATTTACGGGGGCCATTTTTGGCCCTTTCAACTTACCTCCAGGAATAAGAAGAGCAACACTAATATTCCCTGCCGAAAAGGGCTCATTTCTCCTTTTTTCTCTCCGTCGAGGGTACCTCTTTTTGCCTGGCTTTCTCAGATGCACTTGGAAGCTGTCAGTAGGAGCGGCATTCCCTCCAGGATGCCGTCTTTAAAAGGTTGAAAAAGGAAGAGATCAAGAACGGGATGGGGTGAGGCGTGGTGGTTGCAAAAGACCCCAAGTGGTCTGGTGAGGAGAGAAAGGCGGAGCAAAGACCAAAGAGACAAACGGATCCTCGCTCCTTTGCTTGGCTTTGAAATGGAAAGGATCGTTCACTTTCCAGGTGAGACGAAAAGAAATTGATTGGAGCTCCGGATTTCCACAATCGCTGGAAAACGCCTCTTATTTAACTACCAATCACGGCATGTCTCCCGTAATTGATGCCTCCGGACGTCGATCCTGCTCCGGGAGGGCTTCCAGTGACCAGGACGGGTAGGAGGGCTATATAACCAGCACAAAGAGAGGCCGCAACGCAGTTGGCGGAAACGGAATGAATAGCAGGGTAGGTTTGTAGGGTGGAAAGTCCCCGCCCAGGGACCGCCTGCAGACTTCGCTAAGCAATAGCTATTTCTTTCGCCCACAGGACTGCCTCCCACTACTTAGGTAGGAAAAGCGGGCGGCAACCAGGGCAACCAGGGCTCGGGAGGAAGGCGAGCTAGCCCAGAATGCGGGGCTAAAGAGCAGTCGGGAAATGAGTCGACGGCGGACTGGTGGGGAAGGAGGCCTTTGTTGTGCGGATTAGTTCATCTCTACCATTTCTCCTACGTGGTTTTCTCCTACAAAGTGAATTAATGAATTCTTTATTGGCCAAGTGTGATTAGACACACAAGGAATTTGTCTTGGTGCATATGCTCTCTGTACATAAAAAGACACATTCGTCAAGAATCATAAGTGATGGGAAGCTGAGAAATTTCTAGCTGCATAGATGTTAATTCTTATTATATATTGCAACAATAAAACAAACTCCAGAAGCTGGGAGGATACTTCTTGCTAGGTAGGTAACAGGTGTTTGTAGTGTTTTAAAAAGCAAAATGAAAATGCCAAACTACACACACACACACACACACACACACAATTTGATTCTATGTAAATCTGCTTTACAGTCCCAACCGTGAACCTTCTTAAAGGCACTTGAGTCCATGGAATTGGATGAATAATACATTAAAGAACTTTATGTTTCATATGACATGCAGCTTTACATGCTCTTCACATGCCAAGTCAAGATGTGATGGAAGTTGTAACCCAGGATTAGAAAGCTGTGGAGGGCTGAATGGACAGAAAGAAGTTCAGACTTAATCCCAGCAAGATGGAGTTGCTGTTGTCCAGAAGGATCTTGGCTCAGATCAAGCTCTGTTACTGACTCTAGATGAGGTTGCTCTCTCCTTGAAGGAACATGTTCTGAATTTAGAGATCCCCTGGATTCTGAACTTCTGGTGAAGTAGCAGTCAATACAATCTTTTCCCCTTTCAGGATGTTATGGCCCCACCTGGATCCTAAAATCTGGCAAATGTTAACTCCCATCCTCATAGCCACACAATAGAATTCCTGTCGCATATTCTATGGAGAGCCAATCTGATATAGTGGTTAAGGCACCAAGCTAGAAACTAGGACACTGTGAGTAGCAGTATTAGAAGCAGGCAATGGCAAACCACTTCTGAACTCATGTCAAGAAAACTGCACAGACTTATCCAGGCAGTTATCAGGAATAGGTGCTAATTTGAAGATACATCCCCATCCCCCAAATTCTGTATAGGCATTGAAATGGCCAAGAAACTGCAGTAAGGTAACATGTAGCAGCCTGGAAACGAGCCCATGTTGCTCATTGCCGCTTTAATTTAAAATTTATCTCCAGTTTCCTTGCTGATTACTGCTAGATTTCTAAGTCAAATTAAAAGTGCTGTTTGGGATCCCAAAGACCAACGTGCCTACCGTCCCTGTCCTATTGTTTCTCTTATTCTTTTATTTTTCTTATATGTACCCATTTCATGTATTCACAACTATGTATACACTTATACTTATCTTGTAAACAATTGGCAAATCAAATAAATAAAAATAAATAAATAAATAATAGCATCCATGCTTTGGAATATCCTAACTTAAGAGTGATGCCTTGCCCCTTCCCTGCTGGTATTTTAAAATCAGATTATTTAATCATGCTTTGTTAGATGGCAGTTATTGTTTTCATTGGTTGATATGGGTGGGCTGCCGTGTTATTGCTACTTATATTATCTTGCTAAGTTTAAGCTTAATTTATAATAATTGATTTCTATATTTTTAATCTTATTGGAATATCCTGGGAGTTGTATAAATATGGTTAAGTAAATAAATAACCCCATTTGTTCTTGCTGGATTCCTGAAAATACAAGCGGCTAATGAAATCAGGTAGAAATAAGAATCCTATTTCACATGCAAAATAAGTTTTTGTTTTTTTATCACCAAAGTTACATATAGTTGTGAATGAGCCAACTAAAAATGAGAGGCTCCATATAGAGACATCCACCTTATAAGAGTCTCATCTTATTTTTGTAAGTAAATACAAAAATTATAATGTTCCTTATGTTACATTTGATACCTGGTGACTTTCATATAACCCTGGGTTTTCTTGAAATCACTATAAAGTAACTTGCCAATATTTTATGAGTTTTAGTCTGCAAAAGCCAATTTTGTGTAATAGTTAAAGGCACAAGACTAGAAACCAGAGTATTTAAGTTTTAATCATGCATGACATGAAAGACAGCTAAGTCACTTTGGGACAGTCACTTTCTCTCAATCCTAGGTAAGCCATCAAAGGCAAACAGTTCCCCAAAAAAATTACCAACCAAAGTGCACGAATTTGTTCCAGCAGTTGCCAGCAGTTGAGGATGACTCTGAGTTGTGCACACAAACACAAGTATAAGCATCATTGGAGTTTTCCATTCAAGTGCAAACCAGATACAGCCCTACTTGATCTCAGCAACAATAAGGTGAGTGCATCTACTATCTGCAACTCTGTAAAAGTAGCTATTGATTGTGCAGACTCCTTAAAGGCTTGTTTGCAACTGCACTTCATGGGAATGCTACCAAAACTGATAGCCATATGTTAAGTATTTTTGCTCTTTAATAGAACTATCTTTGCAACTGCACTTCATGGGAATGCTACCAAAACTGATAGCCATATGTTAAGTATTTTTGCTCTTTAATAGAACTATCTTTTAAACATTACATCATCATCATCCTCACCCCACTGTATCTAAACAAGTTTGCACAAAAGCAGATATCACATAGAACTTTTCTGTTTGAGTCCCTTTGGACAGAGAAACTGGATATAGCAACGATCAGTAATATTGAATAGTAATCAAATATCAGCAAAATATAAGAAGTATAATCAACAAGAAGTAGGAAAATATTATGTTAAAAGTACTGTTTTAACGGGTGCATTTTTAAAAGTAACTTTCCACCTGCAGTCAGAGAGGACATGTTGCAGGCATATTATACATAATTAGTTAGGTCTGTAGACCAGGCCAAAGTCAGAAGGTCAGTTTGGAGGTTCTTGATATCCTGCAATCATTCTCAGGATAAAACCTACATATTGAAAATTGATAATGGCTTGCATTAAATATGAATAATTTTCCTATTAATTTCAATGCACATGACAAATTCTGAATCTGACAAATATAATTTGAGCAGCATAGATGTTCAGCATTAATTTCCTACTAATAGGAAATTATACCATTCTACTTCAAAATAGGGCCTTTTTCAAAGGAAAGCAGAGTGGACTGAGCAACTGAGTGGCCAAATACTGGAGGAAGAAAAAAGATTATCTCAGCATCTATAGTTTATAATTGCTCCATTCCTAATTATAATTTTCCATAGTTGATCTTTTTCAAGTAAAGTGTAGAGCTGCTCTCTGAAACTACCACAAAACCCTTCATTTCAAACAGAAATTCAGTAAATACCCCCATAATTATACCAATAAATAAACTCGTAACTGTGAGTCATTATGAAAATGAAAACAATATAATTTAGAGCACAGAAAATCAAGATTATGAAAGAGATTTGTTGAATCGCTGCTGTTACGCTTCATTAGAGTATGATTCATATCATTTGCAACCATTCCCAATGCTGACTGAGATCAAGACAGAAAGGCAAACAAAAGTGATTTAGCATGACTCATCAAAGGACATTTTATAGCCCTGTGTGCTTTACTTTCTACTGTCCCCATCAGCAGGCTTATGAACAGCATGTAGGTAGAGGTTTATTGAATAGTCATAAGACCTTATCAGTAACATAACATAAATATATAACAAGACAAAATACAGATAAGTTAGATATATAAGAATACAGTAATAAAAACATATGTGGAAAACCAGGGAATCAAAAATTGGATAATAGATCACCCTTGCAGGATACACCAATTTGTTCAATATATTGGGTTCTTAGGACCGCTGCCTTGATTATAAACTTAGCAGTCCTACGGACGATGTGTACATTAGAGGCCCGGAGGAAATATAACAATCTGTGGTTTGATTCCCAATGGGCTGTTCTTTCCAGTAGAAATGATAAATATTTAAACCTAATGGGGGCATATATTTGGCAGTTGAACAAAATGTGGGAAATATCTTCAATGGCAGATGAACCACATAAGCAGGTTCTCTCGTGGTATGGTACATGGTGGAAGCGCCCATGTCTGGACATGGAATCCAGTAACTCAAATCTGGCTCTGGTATAGGCTTTTCTCTAATTGTGGCATACCCATTGAAAGGTATTTTTCAGGTTGGAAGATGTTTTTATTCTTAGCCAACCATCTTATAGATCTGTTTTTTGCTAATAATTCCATGTCAGTCTGGGCACTAATGTCCAAGACTCTCTGTTTAAAAATTTCCCTTGCCTGGGAAACCCTTGTCAATAAATATTGGGTAGAAAACCCATGTCTTAAGATGGCTCTGTGGAGTTGACTGCCCAGGAGTTAGATTGGAACTTATTTAACTGTTCAGTTAGGCATAATTTGGGAAGTCTATCCGAATCCATTGGTTGTGTCTTTAGCCAGTATGTAAATGTTTTAATTATTAAGTGGCTATGTAAGGAGTGGATACCCAATTCCACTCTGACTGCTGAAGCAGAAGTGTTCTTATCAGTCCCCAATAAGTGTCTTAAAAAGCAGGCCTGTGTTTGTTCAAGCGGGGAGGCTTTATTTAAACCCCACAGTTCTGCACCATATGTCAGCATTGGAACTATTTTTGCCCTAAATACTTTCAACATAGGGGTCAGAGTGCTTGGGTAATTATGGTTAAAAAAATTATATAATCTTTTGGTGCTTATCTCAGCTCTTAATGCACTACTTTTAAAGTGATTAAACCAAGATCCTGTATTAGTAAAAACCACTCCTAAGTAGGTGTAAGAATTTACTTGTTCAATTGACTCCCCATTAATCTGCCAATTATATTTCCTACTTTTTGTGCTGAAAACCAACACTTTGGATT